TGTTGCTGTGCCCCCCCACCCCCCGTGCCAGGTGCAACCATCTCCCTGACCCCTCTGTCTTGTCTTTGGTATTCAGGGCCCCCACACCACAACTCAGCTCCCTACCAGCACCCGGTTTCCAGCCACCCTGGTAAGCGATGCCTCCCTCACTTGCTCTCGTTGCCCTTCTCTTGTGTTGCTGTGCCCCCCCACCCCCCCAGCCAGGTGCAACCATCTCCCTGACCCCTCTGTCTTGTCTTTGGTATTCAGGGCCCCCACACCACAACTCAGCTCCCTACCAGCACCCGGTTTCCAGCCACCCTGGTAAGCGATGCCTCCCTCACTTGCTCTCGTTGCCCTTCTACAACCGACCCGTGCCATCCTGGAATTTTAACTCTCGCCTCCCCGCAGGCCCCGAATTCTGGTGTTCCATCGCCTACTTTGAGATGGACGTGCAGGTGGGCGAGATCTTCAAGGTGCCCTCCAACTGCCCCGTGGTGACCGTGGACGGCTACGTGGACCCATCCGGGGGCGACCGTTTCTGCCTGGGGCAGCTCTCGAACGTCCACCGCACAGACGCCAGCGAGCGTGCCAGGTGAGGACTGCGTCTAGTGGCGTGTTAAGTGTGCGCACCTGCCGTGCAGAAAGGAACACCTGCTCTATAAATTCACAACCAGTTTCCAATCCATTTATTTCAGCTAAAGAATCTTGGGAGCTGTAGTGCTACAGAAAGGCCACAAATCCCGGAAAGGCATTTTGAGCATACAAAGCCTTACCCCTCCACAAGACTACATTTCCCACAGTTCTTTGGAGTGAAGGCCGTAACAATCCACTTTCAGATTTCAGAATGCTTTAAATGTCTCCATTCCATTGTCGAGTTGCTGACACCAGGCTGGGACATTCCTGGCGAGTTTGGAGGCAGAGCCTGCGGAAGGCAGCGTTTGGCAAAGAGAGCGACCTCAGTGGTGTATAATGTGCCATAGAGTCCACTGTCCAAAGTTGCTGTTTCCTCCAGTGGGGGTTGATTTTGCTAGTCTGGAGACTTCCTAATCTCTCTCCTGGCTGGGACCTCTTCCCAGATCTTGTCTTGCCCCACAAAGCCTAAACCCGTCCCTGGTGAGAGGTGTTCCTCCGAACCAGACTGACAACTGTCCCTTCTCTCACACAAGCTGGCCTGCGAACGTTCTAGCAGTGTTGTTCCTTCAGCTCCTTTAACACTCTGTCTTTTTAATTTTTAGTATTCTGAAATATATGGCATTATATAAGAAACAGACTGTGACTTATGGCCTTCTCACAGGCTATCTAGAGGGAAGACCAATTTGCCTTGGAGTCTTCTCTCCCAGCTTACCCTGTTCTCCTCCACCTCCTTCCATCTTGCCTCAAGACCCACCTGTGAGAGTATTCTAGGGTTCCCGGCTCTGGGTCCTGAAACACCTGGAGATTTGAGGGTGGAGCCCGGGGGACGGGGTTTCGAGAGGGGAAGGACCTCAGTAAGGGTATAATGCCATTTTCTCCAGGACAAGTGGAATAAACATTTCAAACCCTATTCTTTGGTGTAGTGGTTAAGAGCGCGGAATCTAATCTGGGAGAACCGGGTTTGATTCCCCACTCCTCCACTTGCACCTGGCTGGATGGCCTTGGACAAGCCGTAGTTCTAATAAGAGCTGTTCTTGAAAAAGAGCAGTTTCTGTCAAGAGCTCTCTCAGCCCCATCCACCTCACAGGGTGTCTGTTGTGAGGGGGGGGAAGGGAAAGGAGTTTGTAAGCTGCTCTGAGACACCTTTGGGCAGTGAAGGGCGGGGTATGAATCCAATCTCCTCTTCTTCTTCTTTTACCTCACAGGGTGTCTGTTGTGGGGAGGGGAAGGGAAAGGAGATTGTAAGCCGCTCTGAGACACCTTTGGGTAGTGAAGGGCAGGGTATAAATCCAACCTCTTCCTCTTCCTCTTCCTCTTCCTCTTCCTCTTCTTCTTCTTCTTCTTCTTCTTCTTCTTCTAGAGCAGTTTCTGTCAGAGTTCTCTCAGCCCCTCCTGCCTCACAGGGTGTCTGTTGTGGGGAGGGGAAGGGAAAAGGAGTTTGTAAGCCGCTCTGAGACACCTTTGGGTAGTGAAGGGCAGGGTATAAATCCAATCTCCTCTTCTTCTTCTTGATTCCCCACTCTTCCACATGCAGCTGCTGGTGTGACCTTGGGTCAGTCACAAGTTCTCTCAGAGCTGTTCTCTCAAGGGCAGTTCTCTCAGAGCTCTCTCAGCCCCACCTGCCTCCCAGGGTGTCTGTTACGGGGAGGGGAAGGGGAAAGGAGATTGTTAGCCGCTCTGAGACTCCCTTGGGTAGTGAAGGGCGGGGTATAAATCCAATCTCTTCTCTTCTTCTCTTCAAATAAATAAGTAATAAATGATTTATGTATTCTACAAAGGGTTACGAGGTCCCTCCTGGCAGCTGGCAGGGGATGGGGGGTGGGCTTACCGGGAGCAGGACTTTTCTTCAGACGTTTCAGTAATGTGCCCATGTGACTTCCAACGTTCCCAGAAGTGATGTGGGGATGACAGGGCGACACTCTAGTTTTTGGGCAAAAACTCTATGGTATAATTAGCTTTTACCATAGGGTTTTTGCCTAAAAACCAGGGCGTTGCCCCAACATCCCCAATGTGCCTATTTGGCCTCCGGGTCACATTGAAGTAGCATAGAAGAAGAAGAGAGAAGAGATTTGATTTATACCCCACCCTTCACTCGGAGTCTCAGGGCAGCTTACAATCTCCTTTCCCTTCCCCTCCCCACAACAGACACCCTGTGAGGTAGGTGGGACTGAGAGAGCTCTGAGAGAACTGATTGTGAGAGAAGAGCTCTTAAAGAACTTGTGACTGACCCAAGGTCACACCAGCAGCTGCATGTGGACGAGTGGGGAATCAAACCCAGTTCTCCCAGATTAGAGTCTGTCGCTCTTAACTACTACACCAAACTGGCTCTCAGCATAGGGAAGTTGCTGCAATGTCAGCTGTTCCTCTCTTTGGAGGGGTTAGTTCCCCTCACTGGCCAGTTAATCGGCGGTGTAGTGGTGGGGGCTGGCAGAAGGAGATCCCCACCCCCACCGGGGGTGTCTGGCTATTGGAATACATCGGTAGCAGCGTGCACAAAGGCTCACAACCACAGCAGAGCCACCTGGCACAGTGTGCGCGCACGAGCACGAAACAAAGTTACATGGAGCCTCTTGATATTTGCAAACTAATATGAGTCCTTTTGGAGCTGCGGTGGCTCAAGTGGTTAAGACGCTGAACTGCAGGCTGTGGAAGGTCAGTAGTTCAGCAGTTCGAGACCCGGGTGTGCCGCATGATGGAGTGAGCTCCCGTCTCTAGTTCCAGCTCCTGCCCACCTAGCAGTTCGAAAGCAGGAAATTGCAAGTAGATAAATAGGTACCACTTTGGTGGGAAGGTAACAGCGTTCCGTGCGCTTTGATGTTTAGTCATGGCAGCCACATGACCACGGAAACGTCTTCGGACAGCGCTGGCTCTTCGGCTTTGAAACGGAGATGAGCACCGCAACCCTAGAGCCGGATTCGACTGGCTTTCGAGCAAGGGAACCTTTACCTTTACCTTTTCATGAGTCCTTTTATTGAAGGAACTCCATTCTAGATAGGACAGAGGAGAGATAGGGTCTCACCCTGACAGTACAGCTCATTCGCATATTAGGACACACACCCCATGTTACCAGAAGTGTGGTCATCCACCCACACCCACCTTTTGCTTCTTATTCTCTTTGCCTTGTTTGTTGTCAAAACCCAGGGCTTTTTGCATGTTAGGCCACACACCCCTAATTGTAGCCAATCCTAATGAGTTGCTGCTGTTGGGTGTGGCCTATTATGCTAATGAGTTTCTGCTGGGCGTGTCCAACTTGGGAGCCAGCTGGAACTCCGTTCCTGTGCGTTCCTGCCCAAAAATAGCCCTGACAATTCTTATCAATTTCTACTCATCAACTCTTGAAGGAAACATTCCATGTTGACTGTCTAATAACAGAACCCGAGGTCTCCACAATTGCTACACGCTCAGATAAAGCGAGATGAGAGATGTAAAGCGAGGTGAGAGATGTAAAAGTGATTGCACCGCTTGGAAACAGTGATCATAATGTTGTTGAGTTCATCATTTGTACAAATAGAGAATTGGCCAAAAAGACTCACACAACCATTTTTAACTTTAAAAGGGGTAATTTCTCTGATATGAGGGGACACGTGGGGAGGAAACTGAAAGGAAAAGTAGAAAGGGTCAAATCAATTGGGGAAGCTTGGGATCTATTTAAAACTACGATCCTAGAAGCTCAAAAAATATATATTCCGCAGGTTAGGAAAGGCACAAACAGGTATAGGAAAAAGCCTGCATGGTTAACAAACAGAGTAATGGAGGCTGTAAAAAGTAAAAAGAATTCCTTTAAGCAGTGGAAAGCTAGTCACAGTGAGGCTGATAAAACGGAACACAGGCTATGGCAAATAAAATGCAAGTCTGAGGTCAGGCAGGCAAAAAGGGAATATGAGGAGCATATAGCAAAAAACGTAAAAACCAACAATAAAACTTTCTTCAAATACATTAGAAACAGGAAACCAGCCAGGGAGGCAGTGGGGCCCTTGGACGACCAAGGGGTAAAAGGAGTATTGAAGGATGATAGGGAAATGGCTGAGAAGCTAAATGCATTTTTTGCCTCCGTCTTCACTGTGGAAGATGAGAAGTGCTTGCCCACTCCAGAACCACTGATTTCAGGAGGGGTGTTGGAAGACCTGAGTCAGATTGAGGTGATGAGAGAGGAGGTCCTAAAACTGATAGACAACTTAAAAACTGAAAAATCACCAGGCCCAGATGGCATACATCCGAGAGTTCTGAAAGAACTCAAATGTGAACTTGTAGATCTCCTGACAAAGATATGTAATCTTTCCTTAAAATCTGCCTCCATTCCTGAGGATTGGAAGGTAGCTAATGTCACTCCCATCTTTAAAAAGGGTTCCAGAGGAGATCCGGGAAATTACAGGCCAGTCAGTCTGACGTCGATACCGGGTAAATTGGTGGAAACCATTATTAAGGAAAGAATTAGTAGGCACATAGATGAACAAAACCTATTGAGGCAGACTCAGCACGGTTTCTGTAAGGGAAGATCTTGTCTCACTAACCTGTTAGTGTTCTTTGAGGGGGTGAACAAACATGTGGACAAGGGGGATCCAATAGATATTATTTACCTTGACTTCCAGAAAGCTTTTGATAAAGTTCCTCATCAAAGGCTCCTAAGTAAGCTCAAAAATCATGGGATAGAAGGACAAGTCCTTTTATGGATCAAAAACTGGCTAGTTCATAGAAAACAGAGAGTGAGTGTAGGTGGGCAATTTTCTCAGTGGAGGGTGGTAAGCAGTGGGGTACCGCAGGGATCAGTACTTGGTCCACTGCTTTTTAACTTGTTCATTAATGATTTGGAGATGGGAGTAAGCAGTGAAGTGGCTAAATTTGCGGATGATACAAAGTTGTTCAGGGTGGTGAAAACCAGTGAGGATTGTGAGGCACTCCAAGGGGATCTGTCAAGGATGGGCGAGTGGGCGTCAACATGGCAAATGGGGTTCAATGTGGCCAAGTGCAAGGTGATGCACATTGGAGCCAAAAATCCTAAATATAAATACACATTGATGGGGTCTGAACTGGCAGAGACTGAGCAAGAGAGAGATCTTGGAGTTGTAGTGGATAACTCACTGAAAATGTCGAGACAGTGTGTGACTGCAATAAAGAAGGCCAATGCTATGCTGGGGATTATTAGGAAGGGTATTGAAAACAGATCAGCCAATATAATAATGCCCCTATATAAATCAATGGTGAGACCTCATTTGGAATACTGTGTGCAGTTCTGGGCACCACACCTTAAAAAGGATATTATAGCTTTGGAAAAAGTGCAGAAAAGGGCAACTCGAATGATAAAAGGGTTGGAACACTTTCCCTATGAGGAAAGGTTAAAGCGCTTAGGGCTCTTTAGCTTGGAGAAAAGACGACTGAGGGGTGACATGATCGAGGTTTATAAGATTATGCATGGGAAAGAGCAGGTAGAGAAAGAGGTACTTTTCTCCCTTTCTCACAATACAAGAACTCGTGGGCACTCCATGAAACTGCAGAGCGGTCGGGTTAGAATGGATAAAAGGAAGTACTTCTTCACCCAAAGAGTGATTAACACATGGAATTCACTGCCACAGGAAGTGGTGGGTGCTACAAGCATGGATGGCTTCAAAAGGGAATTAGATAAGCATATGGAGCAGAGGTCCATCGGTGGCTATTAGCCACAAGGTATAGCTAGGGGCTCTGGGGCAAGTGATGCTCTGTCTTCTTGGTGCTTGGGGGGGGTCAACAGTGGGAGGGCTTCTAATGTCCTGGCCCCACTGCTGGACCTCCTGATGGCACTGGTATTTCTGGCCACTGTGTGACACAGAGTGTTGGACTGGATGGGCCTTTGGCCTGATCCAACATTGGCGTCTCTTATGTTCTTATGTTCTTATTCGTTGCGTGTCAGCGATAAGAGAATTTTCTACAGAATCACTACAGTAAATGATTTTGCAAACTTATCTTTATTGACTCTTCGTTCTTTTTGTCATGGATGTTGTTTCTGGATATCCCTCACCTGTAGTTTGGCAGCCCTAATTATCACCCACTTTTCAGTCTTGACCAGTTAGAGCATTGGCAAAGGATCTGAGAGACCCAAGTTCAGATCCCTGCTCTGTTACGGAAGCTCACTGGAGTGACCTTGGGCTGTCCTGAATTGACTGCCCATCAGTTTCATTGGATGCCCTCAAGTTCTAGCCTTTTGGGAGAGGGAGAAAAGGCTCCCGTGGTCCACCCTCTCCACCCCGTGCATAATTTTATAAACCTCTATCGCATCCCCCCCTTATTCCTCTCTTTTCTAAATCGAAAAGCCCCAGACTCTCCACCCTTTCCTTCTGGCATTTAAACCCGACTATCTTAGTCTTTAGGGGCCACGGTGGCTCAGAGGTTAAGATGCTGAGCTGCAGACCAGAAGGTCGGTAGCTCGGCAGTTCGAGAATCGAGTGCCACGTGACAGAAGGGTAAAAGGAAGTACTTCTTCACCCAAAGGGTGATTAACACATGGAATTCACTGCCACAGGAGGTGGTGGCAGCTACAAGCATGGACAGCTTCATGAGGGAATTGGGTAAACATATGGAGCAGAGGTCCATCAGTGGCTATTAGCCACAAGGTATAGATAGGGGCTCTGGGGCAAGTGATGCTCTGTCTTCTTGGTGCTTGGGGGGGTCAACAGTGGGAGGGCTTCTAATGTCCTGGCCCCACTGGTGGACCTCCTGATGGCACTGGTATTTCTGGCCACTGTGTGACACAGAGTGTTGGACTGGATGGGCCTTTGGCCTGATCCAACATTGGCGTCTCTTATGCTCTTAAGTCCCTCCCCTCTCGCCAAACCCCACCCTCTTCAGGCTTCACTCCCCAAATCTCTAGGTATTTCCCAACCTTTGGCCTGATCCAACATTGGCGTCTCTTATGTTCTTATGAGCTCCCATCTCTGGCCCCAGCTTTTGCCAACCTAGCAGTTCCAAAGCAAGAAATTACAAGTAGATAAATAGGTACCACTTCGGTAGGAAGGTAACAGCGTTCCATGCGCCGCGGCGTTTAGTCATGCCGGCTACATGACCACGGAAATGTCTTCAGACAGTGCTGGCTCTTCGGCTTGGAAACGGAGATAAGCACCGCCCCCTAGAGTCGGATTTGACTGGCTTTCGAGCAAGGGAACCTTTACCTTTATCTTAGTCTTTAAGGTGCCACCAGATTCCCGTTGATTCTACTGTAGCAAACTTGTGCATTTGGAGGGGGAGACACATTACATAAATCCACCGGTTGGGGTCGCACTGCCAAGGCCGGTCTTTCGCACTCAGCTCTTGCTCTCTTGTAGACTGCACATCGGGAAAGGGGTCCAGCTCCAGTGCCGTGGCGAAGGGGACGTCTGGATGCGGTGTCTGAGCGACCACGCGGTCTTCGTGCAGAGCTACTACCTGGACCGGGAAGCCGGCCGTGCTCCGGGGGACGCCGTACATAAGATTTACCCCGGTGCTTACATCAAGGTGAGAATGTGAACCAGACGCAATTTAACAAGGACAAGTGCCGAGTTCTACATCTGGGTAACAAAAATGAGGAACGCGCATACTGGATAGGGGATACAGTTCTGGGTAGCAGTGTGTGTGAACAAGAACTTGGGGTGCGGGTGGACCGTAAGTTAAATATGAGCAGCCAGTGTGATGCGGCGACAAAAAAGGCTAATGTGATCTTGGGGTATATCAACAGAGGCATAACACCCAAATCACAAGATGTTATAGTCCCACTGTACACTGCATGGGTCAGGCAGCACCTGCAGTGTTGTGTGTAGTTCTGGAGGCCTCCCTTCAACAAGGATGTGGACAGAATGGAGCGGGTGCAGAGGAGAGCGACGAGGATGACCGAGGGCCTAGAGACCAAGAAGCCCTGGGAGGAGAGGCTGACGAGGGACTTGGGAATGTTCAGTCTGGAGGAGGTGGAGGGGGGGACATGATAGCTCTCTTGAAGTCTTTGAAGGGCTGTCACTTGGAGGAGGGCAGGGAGCTGTTCCTGTTGGCAGCAGGGAACATAAGAGAAGCCAATGTTGGATCAGGCCAAAGGCCCATCCAGTCCAACACTCTATGTCACACAGTGGCCAAAGATACCAGGTGCCATCAGGAGGTCCACCAGTGGGGCCAGGACACTAGAAGCCCTCCCACTGTGCCCCCCCCCAAAGCACCAAGAATACAGAGCATCACTTGCCCCAGCCTGTGAGTTCCTTACCTTGTGGCTAATAGCCACTGATGGACCTCTGCTCCATATGCTTATCTAATTCCCTTTTGAAGCCGTCCATGCTTGTAGCACCCACCACTTCCTGTGGCAGTGAATTCCATGTGTTAATCACTCTTTGGGTGAAGAAGTACTTCCTTTTATCCGTTCTAACCTGACCGCTCAGCAATTTCATGGAGTGCCCAGGAGTTCTTGTACTGTGAGAAAAGGAGAAAACCTGCTCTATCCCATGCATAATCTTATAAACCTCGATCATGTCATCCCTCAGCCGTCGTTTCTCCAAGCTAAAGAGCCCCAAGCGCTTTAACCTTTCTTCATAATACCCTTCCTAATAATCCCCAGCATAGCATTGGCCTTCTTTATTGCAGTCACACACTGTCTCGACATTTTCAGTGAGTTATCTACTACAACTCCAAGATCTCTCTCTTGATCTGTCTCTGCCAGTTCAGACCCCATCAATGTGTATTTATATTTAGGATTTTTGGCTCCAATGTGCATCACCTTGCACTTGGCCACATTGAACCCCATTTGCCATGTTGACGCCCACTCGCCCATCCTTGACAGATCCCCTTGGAGTGCCTCACAATCCTCACTGGTTTTCACCACCCTGAACAACTTTGTATCATCCGCAAATTTAGCCACTTCACTGCTTACTCCCAACTCCAAATCATTAATGAACAAGTTAAAAAGCAGTGGACCAAGTACTGATCCCTGTGGTACCCCACTGCTTACCCCCCTCCACTGGGAGAACTGCCCATTTATACTCACTCTCTGTTTTCTATTAATTAGCCAGTTTTTGATCCATAAAAGGACTTGTCCTTTTATCCCATGATTTTTGAGCTTGCTTAGGAGCCTTTGATGAGGAACTTTATCAAAAGCTTTCTGGAAGTCAAGGTAAACAATATCTATTGGATCCCCCTTGTCCACATGTTTGTTCACCCCCTCAAAGAACACTAACAGGTTAGTGAGACAAGATCTTCCCTTACAGAACCCATGCTGAGTCTGCCTCAATAGGTTTTGTTCATCTATGTGCCTACTAATTCTTTCCTTAATAATGGTTTCCACCAACTTACCCTGTATCGGTCAGACTGACTGGCCTGTAATTTCCCAGATCTCCTCTGGAACCCTTTTTAAAGATGGGAGTGACGTTAGCTACCTTCCAGTCCTCAGGAATGGAGGCAAAGGAGAGGACTCGCAAGAATGCATTTCAATTAAGGGCAGGAAGGTATTGGCTGGATCTTAGAGAAAACCTTTTTACAGTCAGAGCTGTGCAGCTGTGGAATCAGCCGCCTGGGGAGGTGCTGCGCTCCCCCTCCCTGGCCGTCTTCAAGCAGCGGCTGGACAAACACCGGTCAGGGATGCTCTCGGCCGATCCTGCGTTGAGCAGGGGGGTTGGGCTAGATGGCCTGTGTGGCCCCTTCCAACGCTGTGATTCTAGGATCCTAAGCATCTCTACTTTTCCCCCGCCTTGCGGCAAGTCTCTGGCCCACCTGCAAAGGGCCTTCTTGTAGTCCTGGCAGTCGACTCACGCCGGTGCGGACGAGCGTCCCGATCTGCTTCCCCTTTGTTCTTTCCACCCAGGTGTTTGACCTGCGTCAGTGCCACCGACAGATGCACCAACAGGCAGCCACGGCTCAGGCGGCGGCGGCGGCTCAGGCGGCGGCAGTGTCTGGGAACATCCCCGGGCCCGGCTCGGTGGGAGGCATCGCTCCGGCTGTCGGTAGGTGTCAGGTGGAGGCGCATGTGACCTCACTAGGAGATGATAGCAGAAAGAGAAAAGAGCTGCCCTGTGGGCCAGCACAGTTGTCAAAAGGTCTGGGCAGTTGCGTCCAGTGCTGGGGCCTCCAGTTCCAGCGGCACCTCTAGTCTTCCTGGTTACTGGGGTGACTCCGGAGTTCCTGGAGCATTACCTTTCTGAATGCCCAGCAAGGTCTTGCCACAACCAGCAGAAGGGTTATGGGTGGGCACAGCATCACGGGAGAATTAAAAAAAACAACAACTATAGCATTGTGTACTTACAGAAGTGCATACAGGAATTGGCTAAGGGTAGCTCTAGGAATCGCCAGAAACTCTGTGGTTTTACCATAACGTTTCCAGTGATTCCTAGAGCTACCCTTCGTCAGTTCCTGTATGTTCTTCTGTAAGTACACAAGGCTGTATTTCTTTCTAAATCCTCCCACAATGATGTGTTACCCAAATTGGCAGTCTCCTATTTTTATTAGGGGAAATTAGCTTAAAGGAGACGAGCGAGAGGGGGTAACTTGGGAGACCCACCAATGTTTATCAGGATTGTTTCCTTAGAGGACTCTTGAAATAAACCAGGCTGGAGTTCAAACAGAAAGGTGTTTTATTATAAAAGAAAAAGAGCAAAACATACACACAAAACACAGAGAAAATATACAAGCTAAAGAAAAATAGGGAGCAGCGGGGAGAGAGTTTATGGGGACGGTAATATTTACCGGTCCCAAAGTGGGAGGGGGTTCGCTCCTAGGAAGCAGAGCTAGTGTGAAGCTGCTGCAGATGAAGGAATCCCTCCTCCAAAGGGGGACGAGGTCAGCTTGAGGCCATAGACCTAGAGAAGGCTAGGTACAGTACAGTCAGACGCGTTAGGGCAGAGGTGTCAAACTCATTTGTCACGAGGGCCAGTTCTGACATAAATTTCATTTTGTCAGGCCGGGCCATGCGTGCCATAAAACGTAATGCCAGGTACCAGAGATAGAAACTGTATAAAGGACCACAGCTGGTAAGCTCCAAGCTGGTATATCCTCACTGCAGGGCCCCCTGGGGTAGGAGGGGGGTGCAGAGGAAAACCCACATAGGCGGACTGCGGAGGCTGCAGTGCGGTGCTGGGCGGATGCTCCCACGATGCTTGACTGCTGCAGACGAGGTTGTTCTGCCGTGCTGAAGATACAGTGGAGAGGCTCCACCCACTCCCGCCCTCCCAGCACTTCCTCCCTTGCACCAGTTGCTCTCGGGCCGCATAAGAGCCCTGGATGGGCCGGATCTGGCCCCCGGGCCTTATGTTTGACACCCCCTGCGCTAGGGTTTCTTGTTTTGCCGGTTTACCGACCTTGACTGTGTTCCTTTTTTCCTACAAGCTCTTGATTTACGGCTGTTGTTAAATCTCTTTAATAAAAGTTTGTTACTCTGCCCTGGGTCCTCACGTCTCGGAAACCTGTTGGAAAAGGAGCGTATAAAGGGGTAGGATGGGTGTTCTGGGTCCTCCCAGCTGCTGGGTCCACCAGCTGCTGGTGTGTCCTTGGGCCAGTCACAAGTTCTCTCAGAGCTGTTCTCCCAAGGGCAATTCTCGGGAGAGCTCTCTCGGCCCCACCTACCCCACAGGGTGTCTGTTGTGGGGAGGGGAGGGGAAAGGAGGTTGTAAGCCATTAGCTTTTCTGGCCGCCGCCTGTGACAGGAGCTTTCGGGTCCGATTTTCGAGCGTGGTTCTCATCCTATGCTTCCCCTCTCCTGCCCTCCAGGCCTCTCCGCAGCAGCCGGGATCGGGGTGGACGACCTCCGCCGGCTCTGCATCCTGCGGCTCAGCTTTGTCAAGGGCTGGGGGCCGGACTACCCGCGGCAGAGCATCAAGCACACCCCCTGCTGGATCGAGGTCCACCTGCACCGGGCCCTGCAGCTCCTGGACGAGGTCCTCCACACCATGCCGCTGGCCGACCCGGCTCCCGTCAACTAGAGCGGCCGTGGAGGAGCACGGGGTCTCGGGCGCCTGGCCCCCGCGGGCTCGGTGGGGCCGTCAGCACTGTGAAAGAGACCCTCGACACACACACACAACCCCCAACTCCTGTGACGAGGGGGTTAGGGATAGATCCCTGCAGTCCTCGAAGGGCCCAAAGTGGTGGGATTGTCCGCCGGCCACCACGGGAGAGGTGACTCGTCCTGACCGGAGACCAGCCACGGAGTGAGCGGACTAGGAGGACCGCCCCCTGCTCAGATCTTCGGGCCGCCAGAGACCTGTTTGGACTGCCTCCTCGTTTACCCTGCAAAGCTTCGAAGCGGCCAAAGATTACCTGAGCACAGTCGGCAAGCGACCCGTCTCCCGAACCCTCCTCCTAAACGACCCTTGTCCTAGGATCTTTTCTTATGCTTTAATATCAGTCAGCAGCCAAATAATTGAAAATGCCAAAAAAAGAAAAAAGCAAGCAGATGACCATTCCCCTTTCGGCATTGGCCAGGGGCGTCTTAATGCCCCCGGTAGGAATCCCTCACGCCCAGGCCCTGTTGTCCATCACTGCTGAAGAAGAATTAAAAAGAAAAGGCCACATCTGACAGGTTTAACCATAGACTTCCTGGCAATTCCTAGAGCTACTCTTTCTCACTTCTGGTAGCTCTAGGAGTTACCAGGAACTCTATGGTCATGACTTCCTGTAAGTGGACGAGACCTTGTTTTTCTTTTTAATTTTTCTCCCAGGATGCTGCCGGCCGGCCACAGCCCTAGGATGCCATGCTCTCGTTCCTTGAAAGAATGCCAAATATGAGTGTGGGATTAGACTTCCCAGAGCGTGGGGGGGTGGTTGTTTTTGCAAAAAGAGAGAGAGAGAGAGAGAGAGAGAGAGTTATATTTCTAGCCCTTAGACTTTTGGAAGTGCATGGGCTGAAATCTGAGCGCTGATGGGGCAGCGAATGAGATCTACAATTGTTCAGGGCTTGGTTGTGCTTGTCTTCTGCATCTCTGTTCTGTTGCCCCCCCCCCCCCCCACTAGTGGTTCTAGCTGAAATTATGCAGAAAGACGGCACTCATTTGCATAATTAACAGTTATGAACTCTCGACTACCCGAGAGAACAGATTTTTTAAATTTTCACTTACAGTCCCGGCCTTAAACACTGTCTGCACAATCAGCTGTGGGACAAAGAAATGGCCAAAAATTCCATAGGTTCTCTTCATCCTTCCTGGGTGGAGTTGCCAACAGGCCTGGAGAAAAATGTCCTGTCCCTTTAGTAGAAGCTTAATGGGGAGAAATGGGCAGCTGATGATTTTCAGGGCAGGGAGACGAATCATATCCCATGAAGCCTGTATTTTTTTTCTTCAAGCCTGTGGGCAAAACTCTTCTTCGGTAGGCCCGAAGCCAGTCTTGGGCCTTTAGTTTCATCATCTTCCAGATAGAACACGGTAAGGAGAGGCCTCGGTTTTACACCCTAGGGAAGCCCGTAGACCAGCGACAATTTTGTCTAGGGACACTTTTCCTCTCTCAGAAGCACTCTTTAACAGCTGTTAACAGGCAGAGATTCAACTGATGCAGCCTTTTCCTCAGCACAAGGGAGATCTCCCACAATTTTTTGCTTGGCCTGCAGCCTGCAAGACAGGGAGAGATGAAATAAGAACACAAGAGAAGCTATGCTGGATCAGGCCAGTGGCCCATCCAGTCCAACACTCTGTGTCACACAGCGGACAAAGCCCAGGTGCCATCAGGAGGTCCACCTGTGGGGCCAGACCTCCAGGAGCCCTCCCTCGGTTGCCTCCGAAGCACCAAGAACATAGCATAAGAGAACATGAGAAGGCTTGTTGGATCAGGCCAGTGGCCCATCTAGTCCAACACTCTGTCACACAGTGGCCAAAACCAGGTGCCACCAGGAGGTCCACCAGCAGGTCCAGAACTGCAGGAACCCCCTCCCACTGTTGCCCCCCCCAGCACCAAGAATACAGAGCATCACTGCCCCAGACATAAGAGAAGCCATGGTGGATCAAGCCAGTTCCAGTCCAACACTGTGTCACACAGTGGCCAAAACCCAGGTGCCACCAGGAGGTCCACCAGAAGGGCCAGAACTTCAGGAGCCCCCTCCCACTGTTGCCCCCCCCCCCAGCACCAAGAAGACAGAACATCACTTGCCCCAGACAGAGCGTTCCCTTTATACCTTGCGGTTGATAGCCACTGGTGGACCTCTGCTTTTATCTGTGGTCCTTTTATCTGTTCTAAATCTACTGCTTATCAATTTCATTGAGTGCCCATGAGTTCTTGTATTTTGAGCAGGGCTTTTTTTGTAGAAAAAGTCCAGCAGGAACTCATTAGCATAATAGGCCACACCCAGAAACAGAAACTCATTAGCATATTAGGCCACACCCTCTGACTGCACCGCTCATTAGCATATTAAGCTGCATTCCCATGTTACCAGAAATGTGGTCATCCAGCCACACCCACCTTTTGCTTCTTATTCTGTTTACCTTGTTTGTGGTCAAAACCCAGGGCTTTTTTTGTAGCAGGAAGTCCTTTGCATGATAGGCCACACACCCCTAATGTAGCCAATCCTAATGAGTTTCTGCTGTTGGGTGTGGCCTATTATGCTAATGAGTTCCTGCTGGGTGTGGCCAACTTGGGAGCCAGCCGGAACTCTGTTCCTGCGCGTTCCTGCCCAAAAATAGCCCTGCTTTTGAGGAAGGGAGGAAAGTATGGTTATGGCCTCTTTTTATTATTTTTTTTTTTAAAGGCAGGGGTATGACAGGCCAAAATTCAGCAGGGGAAGCGGGGGCAGACTGGGCAACAGAAGGCCTTTTGCCACCTTTGCTCATTAATGGGGGGGGGGGGAGAAAGCTGTCCCGGTTGCATTTGAACCTGTCGCTCAGCTGTCCAAAGGCGAGAAACCAAAAATCACTGAGGCAAAAAAAAAAAATCATAAAAATAAATTACACATGATACGAAATGAGCCATGTAATTACTAATGTGTTTTTCTTTGGGAGAGGTTGATTTTAGTGGTTTTAAAATGTGTGGTTTTTACCAGGTCTGTTTCGATTTGTAGCTGTCTCGGTGGGCAGAGAAGCTGGGATATACATTTTGTAAAATAAAAAATAAAATACATTATTTTTTGGTCTAGACCATTTCGTATCCTGCACATACAAAAATAAATAAAAGTAAAAGTAACCCCTCAAGCATGGCACCCGTGCATCAGACAAAAGCTCCAGCTTCCAGCTTCATTAGCGGTCGGCAGAATGATGACAGAAAAATGAGCAATCCAAAACAGGGCTTCTCAGAAGTAATTCCCATTTAATTCCATGGGGTTTACTCCTAGGAAAGTGTTCTTAGGAGTGTTGCCAACTCTGGGCTGAGAAATTCCTGGATATTTTGTGGGTGGAGCCTGGGGGAGAGTGGGGTTTGGGGAGCGCAGGAACTTCAGTGGGGTATAATGACATAGAATCCACCCCACCCCCCCAAAGCAGCCTGTAATGATTTCATGTTTTGGTGTGTGTGTTTCTTTAAATGTTTAGTTTGACTGCAGTAATGTAGGGAGAGTGATAGAGGGAGACAAGTGTGATGTGATTGGCTGATGACTGAGAGTGTGGGAGGAGAGATGTCTCAGGTGATTCAGTGTGTGTGTTTGTAGAGAGACAAGTGTGGAGAGTTCGGTGAGAGTGTCTATGGCTAAAGAAGCAAGTTGAGTCTATCCTGTGTGGTTAAGACAAATGGGTTATCTTGTGTGCCTAAGACAGAGAGTTTAGCCTGTGTGGCTATATATGAGAGAGATTAGACTGAATGTCTAAGGCTGTTAGAGTGGAGTCTCACACAGTGGCCTCAACCAGTTCCTCTGGAAGGCCAGTAACAGGGTAGAGGCTGAGGCCTCCTCCTGATCTTCGCTCTGGGATTCAGAGGATTAGTACCTCTGGATGTGGAGGTTCCCCTCAGTCACCATGGCTAGTAGGCACTGATAGACTTGTCCTCCATGAATCTAATTAATCCCCCTTTTAAGCCGTTTATTCCTGTGGCCATCACTACATCCTCTGACAGCAAATTCCACATTTGAGTCACATTTGAATCAAGCAGTATTTCCCTTTGTCCATCCTGAACCTTCTGCCTATCAGTTTCATTGGATGCCCCCAAGTTCCAGTGTTTTGGGAGAAGGAGAAAAAATTATCTTAACTCTCACCACCCCATCCATTGGTTTATAAACCTCTGTCATGTCCAATGTTCCCTCTAAACTGAGTGAGTGTGGAGCTAGCTCACAGTTTTTTAGCCTCCAGCTCACAGATTTTTGCCTTCGCTCAGGAAGGATGGGGCTCCAGAGTGTTCTAATGTATGCAGCAGCCAAATGGCTCGCCCGCAACTTTAATGCCAGTAGCTCACAAAGTTTTTGCTCACAAACCTTTGCTCACAAGACTCCACAGCTTAGAGGGAGCATTGATCACATCCCCCCCCTTAGTTGTCTCTTTTCTAAACGGAAAAGTCCCAGGCTCTTCAGCCTGTCCTCGTAGGGAAGGTGCTCCAACCCCCGAATGTTAGATCGCCACTAACAAAGATCCGGAGAGTGATTTCAACCAAAGTGATCAGCTTTATTGAAGTAACGAACAAGCGCATAAAACAAGTCATAACCAGAACAGATTAACATTGGAACCTTGGCTCCTTTTAAACGTTCCCGGGCAAATGTAGCCACACCTACTTACAAATAACAACCAATAAGGTTGTTCGGATAAAGTCCAATGAAAGTCCTTCCCGCTCAGGGAATAGGTGTCGTTCTGATTGGTCGCTGAAATAGAGCGACCAATAGCAAGTCAGTTCTGAGGAGCCTTCGTCCGGCTCGAAGCTTCGCATGGGGAGTGAATGCGGTGATTCATTAAGCCATTCCAATACATTACACCGAATCATCTTGTACTTTTTCCAGCTCTGCAATGTCCTTTTGGAGATACGGAGATGAGAACTGTACACAGTATTCCAAATGAGGCCACACCATAGACCTATACGGGGGCATTACCATATGGGCTGTTTTATTCTCAATCCCTTTCCCAATAATCCCTAACACAGCATCTGCCTTTTTCACTGGGTTGACACTTCCAGCTATTAGTTTGATACTCTTAACCAGAGAGCCAGTTTGGTGTAGTGGATGTTATGCCAATAAAGGTCTATGTGTGTGTCTGTGTGTGTGTGTAGTGGTTAAGTGGGCGGACTCTAATCTGGGAGAGCCGGGTTTGATTCCCCACTCCTCCACTTGCACCTGGCTGGATGAACTTGGGCAAGCTGTAGTTCTGACAAGAGCTGTTCTTGAAAAAGAGCCGTTTCTGTCAAGAGCTCTCTCAGCCCCGCCTGCCTCACAGGGTGTCTGTTGTGGGGAGGGGAAGGGAAAGGAGTTTGTAAGCCGCTGTGAGACACCTTTGGGTAGTGAAGGGTGGGGTATAAACCCAATCTCTTCCTCTTCTTCTTCTTCTTAACCACTACACCACACCCACTGCATAGCAGTGTTCCCTCTAAGCTGAGTTAGTGTGAGCTAGCTCACAGTTTTTTAGCCTCCAGCTCACAGATTCTTGTCTTAGCTCAGGAAGGATGGCTCCAGAGCAAACTGATTTATGCAGCAGCCAAATCACTTGCTCACAGCTTTAATGCCAGTAGCTCACAAAGTAGAATTTTTGCTCACAAGACTCCACAGCTTAGAGGGAACACTGCTGTATAGCCATTTTTTGTTACACCACCAGGAGGTCGGCAAAACCAAGGAAATAATCTGCGCTGAACAATAAACAATCACAAGTCTTAAACAATTGTATCCAAACGTAATAGGAATATAATAAAAGAGGACACAATCCAATGTCATACAAATACAATGACATTAAATGTAACCAGACGTGTTTTACACACCACCGGACATAGATATATTTACACTCTATCAACTCATACACCAGAAACTCCAATAATATAGAAGACAATCTCTCAGTTTTAATAGTCCCACAGGAGTTCAAGGATTCACGGGATCCGTGGCACTTACCCCCCACCCCCGAGGTTTCTCCCCTGCCCAAAACCCACCCTCCATCCCCCAAATCTCCAGATACTTACCAACTCAGAGTTGGTAACCCTACTCTCCAGTAAGTGTGTGCATGCTGTCATCCCCTGCATACAAGACCCCTCTACTGACCTTTAGATAGGGATGCCAACCTCCAAGTGGGACCTAGGGATCCCCTGGAATTACACCTCATCTCTAGATGCAGAGATCATTTCCCCTGGAGAAAATGGATGCTCTGGAGTAGGTGGACTCTATGGCAATACTATGGCATTGTGCCCCACTGAGGTCCCTGCCCTCCCCAGGCTCCATACCCAAATCTCCAGGAGTTTTCCAACCGGGATCTGGCAACCCTACCTTTAGAAGAAGAAGAGGAGGAAGAGGAGGAGGAGGAGACTGGATTCATACCCCGCCCTTCACATGGCGTCTCAGAGCGGCTTACAGACTCCTTTCCCTTCCCCTCCCCTCCCCTCCCCACAACAGACACCCTGTGAGGTAGGCGGGGCTCAGAGAACTCTTTCAAGAACTGCCCTTGAGAGAACAGCTCTGACAGAACTGTGGCTTGCCCAAGATCATCCAGCAGCTGCAAGTGGAGGAGTGGGGAATCAAGCCCGGTTCTTCCAGATTAGAGTCCGTGCACTTTACCTGAGTAAACGCGATGCATGGGGTACAGCTGAACAAATTTAGATTCCAGTGGCACCTTTAAGACCAACAAAAGTTTATTCAAGATGTGAGCTTTCGTGCGTACTGACAAAGTCTTCCTGCAACTCGGGGCTGCCAGAAAGAAGGTGAGCTTGGGGGGAAATACAATAGACCAGCAGTATCCTAGCAGACACCTATGGGGATGCAATTAGTGTGTAAATAGCCTATTGTTGGGAGTGGGTGTGTGGGGTGTGCCATTTGACGGGATTATAAGAAGAGCTTCGGACCTGCAGGAGTTGTCTTGTAGTTGAGCTAAATCACTGAATAAAGCATGTGCTGATCACTACTGGCATGTCGAACCCAGTATATTTCAGTGTGCAGAGCACACTTCTTCAAATACATTGGCATGGAAAGTAGAATTCATACTTCTAGACAGAGGCTGCACAGCAAATTAGCATGTTACCTGATGAAGATGTTTTAAGCTACGCAAAGACAAGACTAAATAACAAGCTAAGGTTATAAGGTCAACAGTTGTAAAGCAATAAATATGTCAAAATGCATTATGCTTAAAAAAAATGCTTTAAAACACTTCTTAAACCCCCATGCATTTAACCTCAGGCACTACAGGGGGACTACATTTCCCAGCGACCCGTGCGCAACGGCTTCCGGACAGGATCGAGTCCTTTGGTATCTCTTCGCCGGGAGTCTTCAAACATAGAGGGAGGAAACGGCTAGAGAGGCTAATCACAGCGCTCACCGGCACTTCCGGTCTGTCTCGGCCCCGGCGCCCCACCCTTCACATCCACTTGCAAAACATGCGCGGGGGGGGGGCGACCATAGAAAAAGCTCCGGGCCCAGAGCGGCACCGCCCTGAGTCCGGAAAGAGGAACCAGCGGTGTTCCAATCCCCCCGAAGCCGGAAGTGCAAGTGGCGTTCCGTTCCAGCCCGACTCTATAGCCTCTCCTCGAGGTCCCCGTGAGCCTTTGCGCTCTCTGCGGCTCTCTCCCTCTCTCGGTGCCTTGACCAAAGTTCTCCCGGCAGGCTTTGCGGCCACTCAGGCCAAGCGATGGCTGCTGCGGCGGCGACGTCTGGGCTGGCCGCGCCTTCGGGGCCGGGGAGCCCGGTGGGCCCCGCGGCCAGAGACCTCTTCGCGGAAGGGCTCCTCGAGTTCTTGCGGCCGGCTGTGCGGCAGCTGGACAGCCACGTCCACGCAGTCAGGTGGGCAGCGCAGGCGGGAGTCCGTCAGGTGCAGCTGGGGACGCGCCTGGGTGTTGCCCCGTCAGTAGTTGGCAGGAGCTTCCTTTGCCTCCCCCAGTGGACCTTCACCCAACCCTCCCTCTCTCTTCCCCGGCCACACTGCTGGCTGGGGGTCCTGTGTGCCCTGCCGTTCGCAGCTGCTTGGGCAGGCAGGAGTCCACCTGGTGGAGCATCGCACAGCTTCACTGGGAGACTGGGAGCTTTTTGCACCTCTCACTATTAAGTTAAGACGCTGAACTGCAGGCTGTGGAAGGTCAGTGTTTCAGCAGTTCGAGACCCGGGTGCCGCATGACGGAGTGAGCTCCCGTCTCTAGTTCCAGCTCCTGCCAACCTAGCAGTTCGAGAGCAAGAAATTGCAAGTAGATAAATAGGTACCACTTCGGTGGGAAGGCAACAGCGTTCCGTGCGCCTCGGTGTTGAGTCATGCCGGCCACATGACCACGGAAACGTCTTCGGACAGCGCTGGCTCTTCGGCTTTGAAACGGAGATGAGCACCGCAACCCTAGAGTCGGACTCAACTGGCTTTCGAGCAAGGGAACCTTTACCTTTTGAATCCCACCCTTTCTCCAAGAAGGGCAGAGTGGCATGGACGGCTCTCCCGTCTCTGTTTTGCCCTCACGACACCCCCTTGAGGTAGACAGGGCTGAGAGGAAGCAGCGAGCTCAAGATCGCCCTGGGAGCTTCAGGGCGGTGTAGGGATCGGAACCAATTCCCCCCAGATTTTAGTCTGGCGCTGCGGTCCCTGCGTCAAGCTGGGGCTCGAATTTGACTTTAGGATCTAACCAGGTCTAAACCCTGCCTTCCCCCCCCCCCCCCCCCCCTGGTAAGCCCCTGCTGTTTCCTGGCAATAAAGCTTTTTTACAGTTCCACATTATCCATACGACCTCTGACACCTGCAGGTGGAGGAGAAACGCACCGGGAGATTGGGGAGTGGGGCAGAACAACAGACTTTAGAACAGAAATTCTCCCTGTCCTTCCCGTTTTAGATCCACAAGTCTTGTGCAACACTTGCTACTTTATATGTTAAGAACATAACAACATAAAAGAGAGCCAGTTTGGTGTCGTGGTTAAGTGCGCGGACTCTAATCTGGGAGAACCGAGTTTGATTCCCCACTCCTCCACTTGCACCTGCCGGATGACCCTGGGCAAGCCATAGTTCTGTCAGAGCTGTGCTCTCAAGAGCAGTTTCTGTCAGAGCTCTCTCAGCCCCGCCTACCTCACAGGGCATCTGTTGTGGGGAGGGGAAGGGAAGGGGGTTTGTAAGCCGCTCTGAGACTCGGAGTGAAGGGCGGGGTATAAATCCAATCTCCTCTTCCTCTTCTTCATGTTGCATCAGGCCAATGGCCCATCCAGTCCAACATTCTGTGTCACACAGTGGCCAAAAATACCAGGGGCCATCAGGAGGTCTGAGAATGCTTCAAGGTTTGAGCCACAGCAAATAAAATTTGTATCAAGAGAAATACACTTATTCTACAGTGGACAGAATAACACAATTCAAAATTTATGAGTGTTGTGGCAGCCAAAGGCCAGCAAATATTTTTTTGTGTGGGCTGTTAGAGCCAGTGTGGTGGTGTGGTTAAGAGTGCGGGACTCGTGATCCGGGAGACACAAGTTCAAAATCTCCACTTGTGCCATGGACGCTTGCTGGGTGAACTTGGGCCAGTCACACTCTCAGCCTCACCTACCTCACAGGGTTGTTGTGAGGATAAAATGGAGAACTATATAAGCCACTTTGGGTCCCCGTTGGCGAGAAAGGTGGGGTACAGATGAATTTTTTTAATTGTATGAGGCTGTCTTATGTATATCTTCTCTTTCTCTCTCCTTCCCCCCCCCCCGCCTCCCTCTCTGGCAGGGAGAGTCAAGTGGAGCTACGAGAACATATCGATAGTCTGGCCACAGGTAAGGTCAGTTTGGTGTCAGTGGTTAAGAACGCAGACTCTAATCTGGAAAACCGCGTTTGATTCCCACTCCTCCACGTGCAGCTGCTGGCATGACCTTGGGTCAGTCACAAGTTCTCTCAGAGCTGTCCTTGAAAGAGCAGTCCTCGAAAGAACTCTCTCAGCCGCACCGACCTCACAGGGTGTCTGTTGTGGGGAGGGGAAGGGAAGGGAGTTTGTAAGTCGCTCTGAGAAAGGCGGGGTATAAATCCAATCTCCTCCTCTTCTTCCTCTTTCTCTTCTTCTAAGTAGTAGTATCATCTTCCTTACTGTAGTATTATTGCAGGAACTCCCCTGGGGATTAAATTTTGCATTGCCCTCCCAGGCAGAATAGGGGCTGTGGCTCAGTGGGAGAGCCTCTGCTTGGCATGCAGAAGGTCCCAGGTTCAATCCCCGGCATCTCCAGGTAAAAGGGCCAGGCAGCAGGTGATGGGAAAGACCTCCGCCTGAGACCCTGGAGAGCCACTGCCAGTTTGATTAGAGGCTGTGGCTTAGTGGCAGAGCCTCTGCTTGGCATGCAGAAGGTCCCAGGTTCAATCCCCAGCATCTCCAGTTAAAAGGATCAAGCAGCAAATGTTGAGATGGAGCTTTAACTAAGACCCTCAAGAGCTTCTGTTAGTTGGGGCTATGACTCAGTGGGAGAGCCTCTGCTTGGCATGCAGAAGGCCCCAGGTTCAATCCCCGGCATCTCCAGGTAAAAGGGCCAGGCAGCAGGTGATGGGAAAGACCTCCGCCTGAGACCCTGGAGAGCCACTGCCAGTTTGATTAGAGGCTGTGGCTCAGTGGCAGAGCCTCTGCTTGGCATGCAGAAGGTCCCAGGTTCAATCCCCGGCATCCCCAGTTAAAAGGATCAAGCAGCAAATGTTGAGATGGAGCTTTAACTAAGACCCTCAAGAGCTTCTGTTAGTTGGGGCTGTGACTCAGTGGGAGAGCCTCTGCTTGGCATGCAGAAGGTCCCAGGTTCAATCCCCGGCATCTCCAGGTAAACGGGCCAGGCAGCAGGTGATGGGAAAGACCTCCACCTGAGACCCTGGAGAGCTGCTGCCGGTCTGAGTAGATAAGACTGACCTCGATGGGCTGATTGTCTGATTCAATATAAGGCAGCTTCATGTGTGTTTTCTCTTTTGGGCAAATGGAGTCGGGGGTGAGACTGCCAAGGAAACAGCCACTTCCTTGTCTGCTTCTGCCGAGGAGGATCATTGTCATCACAGAAATAATAATTGAACCACTCCAACTTGGAACAGGGATTCTCTCTCACACACACAGCACTGAATCTTACAGCTGCTGAATTTATTTCTCGCCTTAAGAAAGGTAGCATAGGAGTGACACAGAGAGTGATTAAAATTTGGAATTCGCTGCCCAAGAGTTTAGCAAGGGACACAGGAATAAACAGCTTTAAAAGGGGACTAGATAGACTTGAGTCTATCAATGGCTACTAGCCATGATAACTGAGGGGAACCTCCACATTCAGAGGCACTGAGCCTCTGAATCCCAGAGCCAGGAGGCAACATCAGGGGAAGGCCTCAGCCTCTCTGCACTGTTGTTGGCCCTTCCAGAGGAACTGGTTGGCTACTGTGTGAGACAGGAGGCTGGACCAGATGGACCGCTGGTCTGATCCAGCAGGGCTCCTCTTACGTTCTTATGAGGGGAAGGCCTCGGCCTCTCTGCCCTGTTGTTGGAGGCCGCCGTGTGAGAGAGGATGCTGGACTGGATGGGCCCTCACTGGTCTGATCCAGCAGGGCTCTTCTGATGTTCTTCTGAGGGGAAGGCCTCGGCCTCTCTGCCCTGCTGTTGGAGGCCGCCGTGTGAGAGAGGATGCTGGACTGGATGGGCCCTCACTGGTCTGATCCAGCAGGGCTCTTCTGATGTTCTTCTGAGGGGAAGGCCTCGGCCTCTCTGCCCTGCTGTTGGAGGCCGCCGTGTGAGAGAGGATGCTGGACTGGATGGGCCCTCACTGGTCTGATCCAGCAGGGCTCTTCTGATGTTCTTCTGAGGGGAAGGCCTCGGCCTCTCTGCCCTGCTGTTGGAGGCCGCCGTGTGAGAGAGGATGCTGGACTGGATGGGCCCTCACTGGTCTGATCCAGCAGGGCTCTTCTGATGTTCTTCTGAGGGGAAGGCCTCGGCCTCTCTGCCCTGCTGTTGGAGGCCGCCGTGTGAGAGAGGATGCTGGACTGGATGGGCCCTCACTGGTCTGATCCAGCAGGGCTCTTCTGATGTTCTTCTGAGGGGAAGGCCTCGGCCTCTCTGCCCTGTTCTTGGCCCTCCAGAGGAACTGGCTGAGGCCACTGTGTGAGGCAGGATGCTGGACTAGATGGACCACTGGCCTGATACTTACATTCTTAAGCATAACCCCCCCTCCCCATACCTGTTGTAGTCTCACAGACTTCTTTGAGCACACAAGTAGCCAACTGTCAGTATACGCAGCTGGATCAACACTAATTTGCAGGGCTGCTTTTGAGCATTAAAGGGTAGTAGCTAAATCCCCATTCCGTTCCTCTGTTGCTGGCTCTCTGGGGCTATATACTGAGTGGGCAGGCCGGGGCAGGCATCAAAATTGTCTGGTCCTAAGCCCCAGGAGCACGTGGACCCAACTGTTTTGTTCTCTGCTCCCTGCTCAGAGCTCTGCCGGATCAACGAGGACCAAAAAGTAGCCCTCGACCTGGACCCTTACGTCAAGAAACTGCTCAACGCCCGCCGCAGAGTTGTCCTGGTTAACAATATCTTGCAGAACACACAGGTGAGAAACAGGTGGACCCGTCGTGGTGGGCAGACGATGGCCCAGGGGCCGCGCCCAGCTTTCCAGCCGCTTTAACTCTTCGTCGGGAGTGTCAGCCACTAAGCCGCCGTCTGCAAAACTCAAAATGTCTTGAGGGCCAGTTCGGGGGGCTCTGCCTCTTCCTGTTTCCAGTGCCAACTTAACAGCCCACAAAAACAAGGGGAGATGTATACCCCACCCTTCACTACCCGAAGGTGTCTCAGAGTGGCTGACAATCTCCTTTCCCTTCCCCTCCCCACAACAGACACCCTGTGAGGTGGGTGGGCCTGAGAGACCTCTTCCGAGGACTGCTGTTGAGAAAACAGCTCGGAGAGAACTTGTGACTGACCCAAGGTCAGCAGCCGCATGTGGAGGCGTGGGGAATCAAACCCGGTTCTCCCAGATTAGAATTCACGCTCCTAACCACTACACCAAAGTGGATGCAGATGTGGCCTTCCAGCTGGCCCCACTGGTGGAGCTCCTGATGGCACCTGGTATTTTTGGCCACTGTGTGACACAGAGTGTTGGACTGGATGGGCCTTTGGCCTGATCCAACATTGGCGTCTCTTATGTCCTTATACCGTCCCCTACACTGGCTGGTTACTCCTATGCTACCTTTCTTGATGCCAGAAATAAATTGGGGGTATGGCGCTGAGACCACCCTGGATGGCCCAGGCAAGTCCCATCTTGGAAACTCAGCAGGGCCAGCCTCGGATAGTCCTTGGATGGGAGACGGCAAAGGAAGTCCAGGGTCGCTATGCAGAGGCAGGCAAGGGCAAACCACCTGTGTCAAGCTCAGGGCTCAGGCCTAGCTTTCGTTTCCTTAAGTTCTGCTTTCCTTTCCCTTCGCTTGTGATGTGAAATTCCTGGGGGGAGGTGTTGTTGGAGTGCATGGGAGTAATTCTTCAAGTTGTGCCCCAAGAGTTGGTTTTCCTGTGATCAACCTTGGAGACTCTCTGTGCCTAAACTAGGGTAGACAGGACAGCATAGATCTGTCGGTGTTGCCATAGGAACGCTGGGGATTAGGTGTGGCGTATGAGAGTGTGGAATTTTATGCTTTTACCTATAACCTGTATGCTCCCGCGGTTTTCTTCAGTCCTAACAAAAGTTCTCGTCCCTACAGCAAGCATATCTTCAATAAAGCATTTCAGTGCCAATACCGTTTCCCCGAAAATAAGACCTACCCCAAAAATAAGCCGTAGCAGGATTTCTATGCATTTGTGGTATAAGCCCTAGTGTGTCTTCTTGAGAAAAAATAAATATAAGACAGTGTCTTATTTTTGGGGAAACACGGTAGTATGTGTGGAAGAGTGTTTTAGCTGGGTTTGCTATAGGTCAGCTGCAACCGGTCCACACTTTACACACACTCAAGAGTTGAGATATAACCCGACTTTTAGTGGCGTGACTGAGTGTGAGCCATTTGTGAAATAAACTTTCCCCCATCTTCGCAGGAACGTCTGAGGAGACTCAACCACAGCGTGGCCAAGGAGACCGCCCGCAGGAAGGCTATGCTCGAGGCGAGCGGAAGTTACCCGCAGGGCTCCCCCAGCAAGTGAGGACCAAATGAGGGCGCTGCTTCTGCCATAGAGTCTGCTGTTTTGGGGACCGCAGCTTTCTTGCTCACAGGTGCTAGCCGGCTTGGGAGCGGACTGGAGGGGATCACACTGGAGCTGGGTGGAAACGTGGAGAGCACCAAACCCGGAGGCCGCACACAGCAACACAAGGATTCTCTCCCAGAGCCCCTTTCCTCTTGCATGTAAAGAGGCAGCATTGGTTGCGCTTTCCCACAAGCCGCACAGCAATGTGGAGCTAGTGCAGTTATGGCTCTGGAGAGTGTGAGGAACGCTTGATGCTGGCGCAATAAAAGATTACTACTAACCCCTGCAAGACCCAACTCTCTTTTCTACGTAGCTGACAGCGGGGCTTTCCACTTCCCTGCCACGAGAGGTTCAGCCACTGGTTTCATTCTGTGAGCGGCCCTCTGCCAAAAGTATAGCAAAGTCTGGTCCCCGTCTGCGGATAGCTAAATCCGTGGACTGAGGCCACACTGATGCTAAAAGGGTTCTTCTGTAAACTTCAGGGACACCCCCCAACTTTGCAGATTGGGTGTGTGTGTGTAAATAATTCCCAATATAAGAAGCATTTGTCTGTGCGCTGTTCCCAGACACAACTGCTAGGCTTGAGGATGAGGGGGAGAAATAGGATTCCCCCCCCCCACTGAATTCCACAGGCCTGTTCTCCTCTCCCCCCCCCCCTCCCCCCGTTGCACTGCTAATGGGAGAAAGGCTAGTAGGTAGAGAGCAAAGCTAGAAAATGCAGCAGGGTCGATTTTAGTCTAGAAGGGGAGGAAACTACAGTGACCAGTTTTTTAATTTATTTGTTCGTTTTCTCCTTTAATCAGTATTAAGGTGTGTGTATGCACGGACACACCCCTTTGCTTAGTGATTTCCTCATGGTTCCCTTCTTTGCTAGGGACTATGGATGTGGTGTTCTGTGTTCTCTCCATAGAAAGCTGGAGTGAGCAGACCCATCGGTGGCACTTCGTCCTGGTACTTCAACTATAGTCCCAGAGCAGAATATGCTAAGCTGCTTGGTCAAGGGTCGAGCCACAGCAAATAAAATTCGTATCAAGAGAAATACACTTATTCTACAGTGGACAGAATAACACAATTCCACTGTCCACAAGGCTGGGGAGGGGGGGAAAGTTAAGCGTTACCTTGTGCGGCGTGACAGCCCAAAGGTATGATTGTGTGCATGTCAAGTGTGTGTACATCGAGGTGCTTCCAACTTACAGAACCCTATGAATTAACAACATGTCAGAGTTGGAAGGGACCTCCAGGGTCATCTAGTCCAACCCCCGCACAAGGCAGGAAATTCACAAATCCTGCCCCTGCAGACACCCCCCCCCCCC